GTCGAATCGACGGGTTCACCTGCGTGCCGATGTCGGTTGTGGCTCACCAGAGGAATGTGGAATTCCCACGGCTGGCTGAGGGACTCTGACACAGGAAAGTGAGTGGCCTCTCACCCCTCCCCACCACTCCGCTGGCCGATCCTTTAGTGGCTTCCAATCTTCGAGCCGAAAAGGCCGCACACTCTGAAGTGGGTGGTTCCTTAAACTTGACGGCAGCCTTGCCCCCCCCCCCCCCCCCTTTGATTCCCAATCGTTAACAATGTACGATGTTAATAAACTCGTCGGGTTTTACGAAAACAAACTTGTTACTTAATGTGCCCCGTGGCTTCATTTGTATTTTCGATGATCGCCGCCCCCCCCCCCCCCCCAGAAAGGGCATCACGCACCCCCAGGGGATGCCCGACGCAGCCCCCAGGGCTCCAGGCCAAGAAGAAGAAGAACCGCTGCCTTTAAGTTGTCCACGAGCATCAGTTGAGCGTCACCGCCCAAGCCTCGCGAAGCCAACGGGACGGACGTGCGCACGCCAGACGACTCCCCCCACCACCATCGCCGCCCCGGGGGGACACCAAGAATCGACTCGCGTGGAAACGTCGGGTTTGATTACTTGCGGATGTATTAAAAAAAAAACAAAGCCGCGTTACATTCATATATCGCGTTACACGGCTTAGAGAGACCGCAACGGAGACACGTCGAACAACGGAACGAGAGCGCCCCCCCCCCCCACCCCCGTATGCACATTCGTGCGGCTCAACTTCTCTCTGGCGCCGTGCGCGTTCGCCGACCTCGCATCATCGGAGGTGTGGCAGGGGATAGGACAAGAAACTAAACGCGACAAAAAAAAGGAGTTTTCTTTCGTATGGCAAAAGCAACAGTTGTTTTCTTGCTTAATGATGATCAACTGAATGCAAAGGGTTCCTCATTCAGTCCAGCGAGGTGGTTGACGCAGTGCGGATTTCAGCGACACCGCCAGGATGTGCATGGATGGAGCATTCATCGGTGATGTGCTCGATGGATTGGACTTCTCCAGTCGCAGCGGGGCGATTCTTCGATCTTCCTTTTGACGAAACGTCGACACGCATCTGCCGTGCCGTGTACGTACGGGCGCGGTCCACAGCGTGGTCCACGGTCGTCGTGGAAGAGAGAGAATCTCGGTACTTCCACCGTCCGATCTTGAATTATGTTGTTTTGCCCATGTCTAGAGCTGCCCACGATTCACACCACCTAGTGGCGGCATCTTCAACTTCGGCTGCTCGAGCCGAGCCGTGCATCCAGAACAGTTCCCTGGATGTTATCCTTGGGCGTGGGGGGTCCTTGAGATCGGGGGTGGGAAACGTCCGGCCTGCGGGCCGTACGAGGCCCACGGGATCACTTGGTGTGGCCCTACCAAGGCAACCGCAGGCGGGACTCGAAATTCAATAAATCTCGGAGCAAACCTGGAAAAGCGGTTGCGAGTAGCAGCAACATCATCATCAACACCAGCTAACATCACCACACGCCTCGCCAAAGAGAAGCAGTTCCAGCCATCACATTAGGGGCGAGTTAATTAAATGTTTGACCAAATATAACGGGCTGATTTTTAAGTTGATAATTTTGTATGGCCCGCGAATGATGTTATAGATATCCTAAAGAGAAAAAGTCCCCTACCCCCCCCCTGTTTTAGGGACATGGTCAAATTCTTCATTATCTTGCTGAACTCCCGTGTCGTCGCATCATTGCGCCGGATGTTGGCCGGAGCGATGTCCACCAGCACGGGAAGCCACGGCAGTGGAGGAGACGCGAGGCAATCGCCGACGACGAGGTTCTTGCGAGGGCTGTGCCCCCCGCAGCGAGGGCTGTGCCCCCCACAGCGAGGTTCTTGCGAGGGCTGTGCCCTCCGCAGCGAGGTTCTTGCGAGGGCTGTGCCCTCCGCAGCGAAGTTCTTGCGAGGGCTGTGCCCTCGCAAGAACCTCGAGAGACGGGAGCAACTCCGCTGCTTGCCGACGGAGAGACGCACAACAGATCCTGTCATGGCCACGGGGGGGGGGGGGGGGGGGGGTTGGTGGATCACCGGCAGATGGGATGCGAAAGTCCCCTCCCTCCCCTTCCCCATATCCCCCCCCCTGGCCCTGCCGGGGAGGCTGCGGCAATAGGAGATACAGCGTTGCTCCTTCTCACACACGATGGTCGCGCGCGTGGGTTTACACCGAGCTCCGACAGGTTTTCCTTCCGCACATACAAACACTCCTCAATCGACTCGACACATCTCAACATGTACAGGGACTCCTCTACTTATGAACATTCGACGTACGAACTTTGATAGATACGAACAAACCTGTCCCATATGTCCAGTGGCCTGTTTGGAGCGAGAGTCTCAAGTTCAACCGCTGGTCAATAGATGGCAGTGGTGGCATCTACATCTGCAGAACGTAAAGAACCAGTGGCATCTACATCTGCAGAACGTGAAGAACCAGTGAAGAACCAGTGGCATCTACATCTGCAGAACGTGAAGAACCAGTGGCATCTACATCTGCAGAACGTGAAGAACCAGTGGCATCTACATCTGCAGAACGTGAGGAACCAGTGGCATCTACATCTGCAGAACGTGAAGAACTAGTGACATCTGCAGAATGTGAAGAACCAGTGGCATCTACATCTACAGAGCGTGAAGAACCAGTGGCATCTACATCTCCAGAACGTGAAGAACCAGTGGCATCTACATCTGCAGAGCGTGAAGAACCAGTGGCATCTACATCTGCAGAGCGTGAAGAACCAGTGGCATCTACATTTGCAGAACGTGAAGAACCAGTGGCATCTACATCTGCAGAACGCGAAGAACCAGTGGCATCTCCATCTGCAGAACGTGAAGAACCAGTGGCATCTACATCTGCAGAACGTGAAGTACCCGTGGCATCTACATCTGCAGAACGTCAAGAACCAGTGACATCTACATCTGCAGAACGTGAAGAACCAGTGGCATCTACATCTGCAGAGCGTGAAGAACCAGTGGGATCTACATCTCCAGAACGTGAAGAACCAGTGGCATCTACATCTGCAGAGCGTGAAGAACCAGTGGCATCTACATTTGCAGAACGTGAAGAACCAGTGGCATCTACATCTGCAGAACGCGAAGAACCAGTGGCATCTCCATTTGCAGAACGTGAAGAACCAGTGGCATCTACATCTGCAGAACGTGAAGTACCCGTGGCATCTACATTTGCAGAACGTGAAGAACCAGTGGCATCTACATCTGCAGAACGTGAAGAACCAGTGGCATCTACATCTGCAGAACGTGAAGAACCAGTGGCATCTACATCTGCAGAACGTGAAGAACCAGTGGCATCTACATCTGCAAAACGTGAAGAACCAGTGGCATCCACATCTGCAGAACGTTAAGAACCAGTGGCATCTACATCTGCAGAACGTAAAGAACCAGTGATATCTACATCTGCAACACGTGAAGAACCAGTGGCATCTACATCTGCAGAACGTGAAGAACCAGTGGCATCTACATCTGCAACACGTGAAGAACCAGTGGCATCTACATCTACAAAACGTGAGGAACCAGTGACATCTACATCTGCAGAACGTGAAGAACCAGTGGCATCTACATCTGCAACACGTGAAGAACCAGTGGCATCTATATCTACAGAACGTGAAGAACCAGTGGCATCTACATCTGTAGAACGTGAAGAACCAGTGGCATCTACATCTGCAGAACGTGAAGAACCAGTGGCAACTACAGAACGTGAAGAACCAGTGGCATATTTGCAGAATTTGAAGAACCAGCAACATCTACATCTGCAGAGCGTAAAGAACCAGTGGCATCAACATCTGCAGAACGTGAAGAACCAGTGGCATCTACATCTGCAGAATGTGAAGAACCAGTGGCATCTACAGAACGTTAAGAACCAGTGGCATCTACATCTACAGAACGTTAAGAATCAGTGGCATCTACATCTGCAGAACGTAAAGAATCAGTGGCATCTACATCTGCAGAACATGAAGAACCAGTGGCATCTACATCTGCAGAACGTGAAGAACCAGTGGCGTCTACAGGAGATTGTGCAACTTTTAAAGCCATTTCCCATGTTTAGTGTACACGCCGTACAGCACGTTTGGGTTCGACAGCAGTGAAGGCTTAAGAACACATCGACTTACGAACAGACCTCTGGAACCCAACTCGTTCGTACGTAGAGGAGTCCCTGTATACAAGACACCGCCAGAACTTGGGCAATTGCTGTGGCTGCCTTTCAGCTCCATCTGTGGTTAATCCACGCATTAATGGGGGGGTCGGCGAGGGGGGGGGGGCGGGGGAGCGGGGAACGCCTCCATCCCTCACAGCCGACGACAGTAGGGGAATAAAATCATAGGCGGGGGGCGGGGGGGGGAACCAGAAACCCCCCAAGGAGAGCGCCGAGGAATTGCGAACGTCGAGACTTAGAACCGTGGCAGACACAAATTAAAAGCTTCTGTACAACAACAAAAACAACGGCGACACACGGAGGAGAGAGAGGGGGGGGGGTAACAAACCCCCAGGATACAAAAAAAAATTGTTCGGCGGATCCTGAATGGCGCCGTCGGCGGCGGTGCGGTCCGCCTCATTCCCTGCCGAGGCTTGCGTTGTTCTTCAACTTCACTCTGGAAGGTCTCGCCGGCCAGTCTCAGCACCTCGTTGCGAGGAGGGGTCCTGCCAGGTGGTGGCAGCAGAGGGGGTGGTGGCGATGCTGCTGCTGCCACCGAGTGGTCTCCCCTAGGGGCACCAAAACTTTACAAACTTGTGGCCAAACCGAGAGCACCACAACGCCAAGTCGGGACCGACCGTGTTGCATCACCGGATATCGGCACCGTGGCAAACCGCATCGCGCACGGCTCCCTCCACGTTCGTCCCGGCAAAACCATCCAGCCACCGCCACCGGCTCCGGCGTCACCGGGGCCGAAATCCGGCCGGGCTCACCGCGGCCAATCTGGCCTCACCGGACCGATCCGGTTCATCGTGCCGAACCGGCTCCACCCCCCCCGCGTCAGTTGAACACGTTCACTCCAGCCGCGACCGCCGCCAGCCCCTCCTGGAAGAGGACGGTCGAGAGTTTGACGTCCATGGCGGTCGCCGGCGCCGCCGGCGCCGTAAGCACGCTGACGGCGCGGCCCGGGTACGGCTGCATGCCGGGCGCAGTCACCCACAGCGGTAGCCCCTCGCCGCCCACGCCGCCGATGCCGCCGATGCCCCCGCCGATGCCGTAACCGCCCACGCCGCCGCCACCTCCGGCCACCTTCACGCCGCCATAGGCCAGGACTCCGCCGCCGCCGCCGCCACCGTCGGCGCCGCCCGACCACAGCAGCTTCCTGCTGCCGATGCCGCCGCCGCCGCTGCCGACGATGTTGCCGCTGCTCATGCCGTGGCTGTGGCCGTGGCCGATGTTGCCGCCGCCGATGTGGCTACCGCCGATGTGGCCGATGTTGCCGCCGATAATGTTGCCGCCACCGATAATGTTGCCGCCACCGCCGCCGATGTGGCTACTACCGATGTGGCTACTACCGATGTGGCCGATGTTGCCGCCACCGCTGCTGATGTGGCCGATGTTGCCGCCGATGTGGCCGCCGCCTATGTGGCCCATGTTGCCGGCAACAATGTTGCCGCCGCCAATGTGGCCGATGTTGCCGCCGCCGATGTGGCTACCGCCGATGTGGCCAATGTTGCCACCGACGATGTTGCCACCGACGATGTTGCCACCACCGATGTGACCGATGTTGCCGCCGGCATTGCCGCCACCGCCGCCACCCACGTGGCATCCGCCCCCGGCGTTACCTCCGCCGCCGCCGCTCGCGACGGCATCCTCGCCCAGCAGCACCCTGCGCCCGCCGCCGCCGCCACCGGCGCCGCCGCCGCCACCCGCCAGGTGCGTGTGCACGTGCTTGCGCAGGTGGTCCGAGCGCGTGAAGGCGACGCCGCACATCTCGCACGCGAACGGCCGCTCGCCGGTGTGCGTGCGCACGTGGTTGGCGAGCGTGCCCGCCTGGAAGAAGCCGGCGCCGCACGTGCCGCACACGTGCCGCCGCTCGCGCTCCGCCGCGTGCGTCTTGCGGTGGATGCTGACGGCCGCGGCCGTCGCGAAGGCCTTCCCGCAGGCGCCGCAGGGGTGGGGCCGCAGGCCGCCGGCGTGCCTCCGCTGGCGGTGCTCCAGGAGCCCGTGCTTGGACTTGTAGGTCTTGCCGCACTCCTCGCACTGGAAGGGCCTCAGGCCCAGGTGCACGTGGTTCACGTGCGCCCGGAGGCTCGCCATCCAGCCGAAGCTCTTGCCGCAGCCGTCGCAGCCGAAGGGCCTCTCGCCGCGGTGCACCGTCTGGTGGGTGCTCAGGTAGGCCTTGGAGCGGAAGCCCTTGCCGCACGTGCCGCAGCCGAAGGGCTCCGAGCCGCGGGCCGCGTGCGCCGTCTGGCGGTGCTTGGCGATGCCGTGGGGCCAGCGGAAGGTCTTGGAGCAGAGGTCGCAGGCGTAGCTGGGCCGCTGGGGGGCGTGCACCACGGCGTGGCGCCGCAGGTCGGCGGGCAGCGCGAAGCCCTTGCCGCACTCGCCGCAGCGCAGCGGGCGCTCGCCCGTGTGCAGCGAGCGGTGCCGCAGCAGGTGGGTGGACTGGCGGAAGGCCTTGCCGCACTGCGGGCAGGCGTAGCGCTTGGCCTGGCCGCGGCGCGGAGCCTTCGCGGCGGCGCCGGCGGCGGCGGCGCCGGCGGGGGGCGGGACGTGCGACGACGGCGGAGAGGAGGAGGGGGGCGACGACGACGACGACGGCGGGAGGGGGGGCGGCTCGTCGCCGCGCGGCCCTTCGAGGCCGAGCGTCTTCGTGGGGTCTGTCGAGGCAGAGGGGGGGAGCGGGGAGGCGGGGGCGGCGTTGGTTAGGAACGTTGAGTGCCCGGTGTTAAACCGAATGCGGCGAGACCACACGGCAGCAGCGGCAGCAGCAGCATCGCCACCCCCTACTGGCAGACTGATGCCACAATCATTTTCGTGGTAGCAGCGGTGGCGGTAGTGTCGGTGGTAGCAGCGGTAACGGCGGAAGTGGTGGTGGCGGTGGCTGTGGTGGCGGCAATGGTTGTTGTAGCGGCGGTGGCAGTGGTAGCGGCGGTGGTAGTGGTGGTAGCGGCGGTAACTGTGGTGGCTGTGGTAGTGGTGGTAGCGGTGGTGACTGAGGTAGTGGTGGTAACTGTGGTAGTGGTGGTAGCCGTGGTGACTGAGGTAGCGGCGGTGGTGGAATTCCGGTGCGGTTCAACCGCCGGTATCGAGCGTGACCACCACCCAGCATCTGCTGCCCCCCCGCCCCCCGCCCCCGCCCCCCCCCCCCAGGCTACCTTCCATCTTGACCTCGACGCCGGCCTCCCCCCCGTCGAGCCGCTCCTGCTTCACCGCCTGCGTCACAGCGCCGTCGCCTGCAGGGACGCAAGCGGGGAGGGGGGCGGCCGAGGGTTGCCGAACACAAAATACGTTACGAGGTCGCACTCGTCACACGCACAAAGCGATCATCATCATGATCAAGCAATCATCATCATGATCATCATGATGATGATTGCTTGTGTTGCAATCGAAACGTCGTGAGAATTTTATTATTTTATTTTTATTATTGTATTATTTCCCTTCTACGTGACTTTAACGAAAAAGCCAAGAATATTCTCTGGCCGCGTGTGGTGACGGCTACCGCAAGATCCCACCGTGTCCGTCCGGTGCTCGCAGAGCCACGTTGGCTTCCCGGTTTTGCCAAACGGATACGCTACAAGCTCGCACCAGGCACACACAAAGTGGCTTGCTGCTAATGAACCGCTACACCTCGCCGCCGATTTCAACGAGGAGCCATAAACCGTCATCACGCGGTCGCCCTCGGAGCAGCGGCTTTTTGTTCGCCGTCGAACCCAGACGGTGGTGGTCGCTGCATCGTCGCGAGGCCGTCTGGAACGCTCATTCCTTCCGATATTCGGAAGCCGCCGGGAGCCACGCACTATCAAATCATGTACATTGACAACTAATTTATTTAGAACGACTTTATGTGTCTAGTTTCCTTCCCCCCGCACCTCCGATTAGCACGGTTGGACAATGCACGGCGCTGCGAAAGAAGTTCAACGTACACACGCACGCACGTGCTGTCAAGTGTTCTTGCAGTAGGCGGTGGCAATGTTGAGGAGTTTGTTGCAGGGAATTGTTGAGCAGTGGGGGATGTGGTTGCAGTCGATACCAGTTCCACTGTGGGTTTAGCTATGGGAGGGGAGCGGAGACCCCGGAGGGAAACCCATGCAGACCAGGGGGATCACTCACTCACTCTGTAGAACAGGGGTAGATCACACAAACTCCACTCACTCACTCTGTAGAACAGGGGTAGAAAACACAAACTCCACTCACTCACTCTGTAGAACAGGGGTAGATCACACAAACTCCACTCACTCTGTAGAACAGGGGTAGATCACACAAACTCCACTCACTCACTCTGTAGAACAGGGGTAGAGCACACAAACTCCACTCACTCACTCTGTAGAACAGGGGTAGAACACACAAACTCCACTAACTCACTCTGTAGAACAGAGGTAGAACTGTGATGCCGCCGCCGCGAAGCCGTTCGGCAGGCACCAAATCCCCGACCTCGCCACCACCAAGCAACGGAGCCGACCCCGCGTCCCCCTCACCTCACCTCACATGAACACACCCGCACTCATTTCCCCCCCCCCATAGAGCTCCGAGGGGAGGTCGCCTGGCCGACCGGTTTTTATCCGAGAGACCCTTATCGGGATTAATTCTCACGGTTTCCGGCGATCAGGGAATTGGATGACCTCCCCCGTGCTACGTGGCACCGCGGCCGGCCTTAATATGGTGTGGTCGCGGCGTGGGGCATTCGGCCACCGCGGTTGAGGCGCATTTCCCCCCACACACACCCCCACGGGTCGACGGGGCAAGCAGGGGAGGCACGGGACAGCATGAATAGCGGGATCACAGGGGCTGTTGCGCATAGTCATGGAGGGTTGGGATAATTGCGCTTGAGCGCGCAGGCCCCATTGTTAGGGAGGGTAAGGGATTAATTAGGATTTACGCCTTGCACGCAGCACACTGATTAGCATATCAACAGCGCCCAGAACCGCCGTGCGCGTGCCAGAGGATCGCGAGCCCATTGTTCAGCGCAGCATCCCCTTTGAGGTAGGGAGGATAAATAGAGGGGCGCAGAGGGGAAATAGCTCTCTTCTCTCCAGGCCAGCAGACCAGCAGCAGCTCCAGCCAGCGACCCGGACGTCCGTGAGACGCATCGAGGTACGTTGTTAGCGCAGGGAGCAGCGAACCTCCGCGGGCGCCAAACAGTGAGTGGGGAGGTGAAGTAGGATAATAGTCGATAAATAGGGAATAGGTGCCGGTTTAGTGGAATAGGCCAGCCTCGTCGACTCACTGATTGAACATTAGTTACCAGGTAATAAATCATTAATAGCGAAGCGTGGTCTCGCGTGATCTTGTCGTGCAGTGTGAGCGTGTGGGAACGCGTGTGGTACTGTGTGTGCGTAAGCTCGCAGCGTGCGTAATCGGCGTACCCCAGGTGCGCGATCATAACGTAAGCGGCCAGCAGACGGCGAGCGCTGCGCAGAGCGGCGCAAGAGTGGGTATCGCGTGTGGAGCTGTATGCGTGTGTGCGCGCACGTTCACTACGTGTATAATACAGGTGCGCGATCCTAACGTGAGTGGTCTGTATTGAGTGAGTGCCGCGCAGAGCTGTGTGTGGGTGTGCGCGTACGTAATTAACCATGCCTATTACGCGGACCCGCGGGGGAGGGGAATCCTCGAGCGACGGCTCTCACCCCATGGGTGAAGAACCCAACAGCGGTTCGCCTAGTAGCGAGGGGGCGAGTAATGAGGTTAATAATGAGGTTAACCCGGCCGTTAGCGGTACAGAGGGAGGGATCTCGGGGGCCAGCGACCCCCACAAATTGGTGTCGGAAGCGGTACGGACCCCCGCGTTACTTCACGCTAAAATAAGACTAATATTTACCGGCCGGGGGGCCCCTTCGTGGAAGGCATTTGCCCGCAATCTCTTAGGGGCCAAGGAAATTAATGGATGGACGGACGCGCAGGCAGTACGTCAACTTAATATGAATCTTGATGGGCGGGCAGCCGATTTTGTAGAAGCGTTACCCGCGAGCGCACAGACACAGCTAGAGGAGCTGATGCGCCGACTCGATCAGCGTTTTGGCACGCGTGACGAGGAGGAAGCAAAATCGGCCTTAGAGGCGCGCCGTCGCCAACCTGGCGAAGATCTACGTGATTACGCCGAGGATGTGCGCGAGTTAACAAAGATCGCACGCCCGGGGTACGCAACTGATGTTATTGAGGAACTGGCCGCCGAGAAAATCCAGCGGTACCTGTCTCGCACGGCGTGGTGGCAGCCAGACATGAGCTGCCCACGTCTTCCCTTTAACGCCCTTGTCGAGCGCGCACGTAAGTGTGAAAGAATTCACAGCGAACGCGCGCAGCTCCGGGGGCTGGGACGAGAGCGCGCCATTGCGAGCCTGCTCTCGGAAGACGAGGAGGAGGAACAAGAGCTCGCGAGGACGGTAAGGGGCCGGGAAAGAGAGCCTCCAGTGTCCCGCGAGACAACCCCGGGATGGGTTGCCGGTATACAATTGGGTATAAATGATGTCTCCGGCCAGGTAACCCAGGTAGGCGACAGGGTAACCCAGGTAGGTGACAGGGTAACCCAAGTAGACAACAAGGTAACCCAAGTACGGGCACACATGACTGCGCTGGAAACAATGGTAGAGACGGTCCAGGCCGAGGTAGGAGGATTAACTGGGAGAGTGGCTCGACTAGAGGCAGAGTCGGGGCAGCGGCGTGCCGGAGGGGGGATAGGGAACGGACGGGGGGGCTCCTACGGGACGGCCCCCCGTGCGTGTTACCTGTGTGACCGGCGAGGGCATCTCGTGAGAGACTGTCCGCAGATCGCCCGCGCTAGAAACGCGCCGGGGTTAAACCCCAACGCCCCCTAGAGAGTGGACCATCTGGGGGTGCATTCGAAGCGGTCCCGATGCAAAAAGACGGTAATAATGGCGAGCGAGTGATCTCCACACAGGTTCCAACAACAACGCCCACGGAAACGGTGACTCCTGGCGACTGGCTACGGGAGCTGGTGGCGGGGATCACGGGGGCCACGTCGCTGGTGGAAGGGGAGGTAAATGGAGTGCGTACCCGAATCCTGCTGGACACGGGGGCGGTGGCCTCGCTCGTGAGCGCAGCGCACTGCAGCGCGATCGGGGTCGACGTGCGTCACCTGCAGGCACCGGACCGCGCGCTGCACACGGCGAGCGGAGCCGGAATGGGGCTGCTGGGGAGAGCCACCCTAGAGGTCCGCATAGGCAGTCAGGTGTGCACCCAGGAGTTCTACGTGTCGAGTGCGTTGTGTCACGAGTGTATCGCAGGTACCGACCTCTTAGAACGGCTGAGACTCAACGTGCAACCCCGCCAGCGATGCGCCACCATGGAGAGCAACGGCGAGCGGATACCGTTCTTGGGACGAGAACCGACGCGCCCCCGCTTCGCACCTGTGGCCGCTATCCTGGCGACGGCAGTCACCATCGGCCCGCTCACCGAGATGCTGGTGCCGGTGGCAACATCCCCCACCGACCCCGCGCTCCGACCATCAGGAGAGGTAATGCTAACTCCTCACCCGGAGTTGGCAAAACGGTATGGGATAGTGGGATCCGCCACGTTGGTAAACGCAGATGGAGACCGATTGTTTATGCGGATGTTTAACCCCCACAATACCCCAGCGACACTGCGACGGCGAACCCCGGTAGCCACCGTACACCCCCTGCACGCACGCCACTCTAACGACTCGGTGTTCGCACTCTGGGCCGAAGACCCCGGTCGTCCTGAGGGTGACCAGGACCTGGCCTGGCGAGTCGGCCCGACTCCCCGAGCCGAGGTCGTTCCCCTGCTCGACGCGTTACATGTACCATGGGCGGATTTACCTGAGGGAGAGGGCGATCGGCTGCGCGAGTTACTGCGGGAGTATGCCGACGTATTCAGTGAACACGACTCGGACGTGGGTCGGACCAATCTTGTTAAGCACCAAATTGACACCGGTGCAGCCCGACACCCATCAAACTCCCTGCGTACCGAGTGGGCGCACCCGAACGCGCCCAAATCAAAGAGGCAGTTGGGGACATGCTTCGCGATAACATAATTCAGCCCTCGGCGAGCCCCTGGTCAGCCCCAGTGGTACTAGTAACGAAAAAGGATGGGTCAACCCGGTTCTGCGTCGATTACCGTAAACTAAATGCAGTCACGCTCGGCGATGCCTTCCCCATACCCCGCATCGACGGCACCTTCGACAGCCTCGCCGGAGCGCGATATTTTTCCACCCTCGATCTCGCGTCCGGGTACTGGCAGGTGGAAATGGCGGAGGAGG